CGTGATACAGGAGATTGACCAGACATAAAATGCCAGTGTAATACCAAGCACCATGTCAAGCATGCAATGTAACACTGCTCCAATGTCAATGGAGAAAAGAAAGTATCAAGAATATTGACTAAAAGCTTCAGTGAAACAAAATATTTTAAAGACTGGGAGAAAGGAAAGAAGGTAAAACAGAAGTCACTGGGAATACGCAGCAGACCAGGCAGCATCTATGGAGAGAGGAAAATGAGTTAACGTTTGCAGGTGATGACCTTTCGTCAAAACGATCTGAAGTGACCTTTCGTCATCGACCTGAAACGTTAACCCATTTTCTCTCTCCATAGATGCTGCCTGACCTGCTGCCTGTTCCCAGCGACTTCTGTTTTTATTTCAGATTTCCAGCATCTGCAGTATTTTGCCTTTTGAAGGCAAAACAGTTTTGGATGAAAAATCCTGATGGCAGGGGGACCCGGGCTGAAGAGACAGCCATCAATTGTAGGATGGCGACAGTGTGGAACAAGCGATAGACCAGAATAGAAAGAGTGCGTGTGTGTGTGTCTGTGTGGAGGGGTATTGCCAACAGGATTGGAAGATATTGTATAATAGGGAAGAACAAGGATGTGAAGGGATTTGAAGGTCAGGACTTGGATCTTAAAGTCAATCCACTGGGATACAAGGAGTTATGTGAGTTGCCAACTATGTGTAAATGGATAATACAAATGAGTTTACATATGGTTTATACCACTTGCTCTCTATAGATACTGACTGAGAGCCAAATAATGGGCACTTTGTGCTGTGGACTCACATTCACTGTTACCTGGTTAAGAACTTAGTTCACTAAAGACCCTTACAGCTGTTATGGAAAAGACATTCATCTCATTCCAATGTGCGTGTGGGCTGCACTGGACTAACAGGCACCCAAACCATGATAAACTACCACTTATAATGCTACAAACAAAAGGTAAGCCTGGCATTGATTTCACTTCACTTTAAAGAGAGACTTAATGAAAAAGTACTTACTGAGATTCTCTATGGATTTTAAACACGCCAGTCAACCTCACGTATGGTTAGTGTTGCCTGACTTGTGTGTAATACCAGTCATATCATTTTGGCTACTGGTCGTATTTGTACAACTGGGATTAAATGTCACTTGAGAGACTTTTGGTGCCAGATTATTGAAAAAAAATATCCCTTGACCATTACAACATTGGACGGGAACAAAATTAATGATCGCTTGAATGCTCAAGTAATTTTTAACCAGACGATTTTCATTATTCGAGACATCTTCCTGACGTGAAACAAACTACAGTTTCACGTCAGGAAGATGAAATCACATAAGCCATATCAGTTGGGACCCTACATTTAATATGATTTCTGCAAAGGTATGAGTTACGTCAAAGTTCTTTTCAGACGTATCAAAGTGTTTCACAGGATGTATCGGAAAGTCCAGCAACTCTGAGGATCATTGGCTAAAAATGGTTCACATTTTTAAAACTAGAACAGGTTAATTAAACATCCGATTCGGTTTTCAGACTGACGTACCTCCGGAAACATTGATGATTACAAGTGTACGTTTCTCCACTTGTCCATAAGGGTCAATAGTTCACAGTCTGCCGCTCTCAAATAGTCAGGCAGGATTTCCAACAAAATTGCACTATAATATAGGATTATTGCTGTACGATCGGGGTAATAAGATGGACAGGTTCAAGTTCTTAGAAAATATAGTCCTGGCATTAAACTGTGTCAAATGAGGTGAGTACGTATTTCCGTTTTGGTTGCTCTCTGCTATCCAGCACACTGTTCATCTTGAAGCAAAGTCTGCTACCTGCTGCACGGCATCAGGGCAAACGAGCATTGCATAAAATCCAGGCCATGGACACCATAAAGCAACTGAACAAACCCGCGTATAGTTCTGTCCATCTAATCGGAGTTAAAGGAATCAGAAGTGAAACGCGCTTCACATTTTGAGTGTCAATATCTTTACGATCCTCATTCTTGAATATTGCTAGTCAGAGTAATGAGCTTCCCAGCGACTTGGCCTGTGACCAAACCTTTTCTCAAAAAAGCATGTGTTAGAGATTCTTTCAGCACTTCACAATGTCTGATGTGCAATCCCTTAAGACTCAAAGACAACTGCGTTTGCAAGGAATTCTTTCCTTTTCCACCTCTGGCGTCTGCATAACACTGGAAATAAAAAAATATGTCTGTGCCTAAAGGACTATTTATATTGTGTTGTAAAATGGCCAGTTCCTGAAACTACCTTGATTAAGGGGGTGGGGATTGCCCAGGAAACCCAGTCGACCAACGGACAGTAGAAGTGGAAATATAAATATAAATCACTATATAAATTCAAGATGTTATGCTGTGCTGTGCTCTCACTAATAATATTCCTTGCATTTGCTATAGCGCCTTTCACTTCGCGAGGGTGTCCGAAAGGGCTTCATAGTGGTGAGACTGTGTGCATTTTGTGGGTGAATGTGGCAGTCAATTTGTGCATAGCAATGTCCTACAAACAGCCATGAAGTGAATGACGAATTCTATTTGGGGGAATTGTTGGCCAGGACAGGCAGATGGGACCTCGGTTTAACGTCTCATCTGAAGAACAGCACCTCCAACAATGCAGTACACCCCTGCAATGGAGTATCAGCTTAGACTATATGAGTTGCAAATCCTTGAACCCACAACCTTCTGACTCCGAGGTGAGAGTGCTACCATCCCAGACTGACTACCTTTCAACATGGACAGAAAATGAAAATAATTATTGAGAGTTTTACTGAGTTTCTCTCCTCCTCCATTTTCTCCCCTTTTTGACACAAAATCATAGACTCCCAAAAACCCTGGAGAAACGGTGGCTTTTTATTTTGTGGGTAAAAGAAGACAACAGCAGTAGTCCTTAGCACTGTATTGTATAGTCACAACAGCTGGAACCCATCATTCAGGTAACATCTATTACTGAACTCTCTCCGGAAAAATAAGCAGAGTAAGGAGTTAAGAGTAGCAGTCTGAAGTCACTTTAAAATTAAATAGCAGAAATATAGAATTGCAGGCCATACTGCTGTATTGCTGATGAATAAAAAAGTGTGTCGCTGATGAATAAAATATCTGGAATGCAAACATCGTTTATCCAGCCAAAAAATAATGAGAAGACTTAGGGAGCTCCTAACTGGCTGCCAGATCCACTTGCTTACCGATCCTCTGACCTACCTGATCCCCAAGGCGAGAAGGATCTATTTTTTCATAGAGTGAGACGCGTGGGATCGAGTCGGGGAGGGGTGGGGTGGGGACAATATAAACCGCATGTACGGGCTCCCCAAAGCTGCTGGCATTTCTCAAGTCTAAAATTCGTGTAAAATACAACGCAAACCGTATTTTGGGAGGGGGACTTGCGCCATTATCAAAACTTTTGCAGCCACTTAACGTTGATGCGAATTGACCTTAGGCATGGGAGGCAGAGTTGTGATTAGTCGAGCATGTCTCACTGTACTTCCCTCCGTTGACAAAGATTGTAATAGCAGGTCAGGTACTGTAACAGCTCGCAACAATTGCAACAATCTGCCTATAACAGATTGCCAGATACTGTACAACAACAACAACAACAACAAAATGACATTTATAGAACACCTTTCACGTCAGGAGGACATCCCAAAGCGCTGAACAGTCAGGTGTCGGGGCCCGAGCATAGGGGAGGGGTGGTGTAGGGGTGAGGGAAGGCAGAGAGGTGGGAGGGAGACAGAACGCACGGTCGAAGAGAAGGGTCTTGAGACCATCCTTGAGGGAGGCGAGGGAGGAAGCGAGGAGAGGGGACCGTGGGATGGAGTTCCAGAGTGTGGGGGCAGAGAGGCTGAAAGCCCGGCCACCGATGGTAGGGTGGGTCGGGCGGGAGACATGGAGCAGGCCGGAGTCCGCTGAACGGAGGGAGCGGGCAGGTTGGTAGGGAGTCAGCAGGTCAGAGAGGTAGGAGGGGGCAAGGCCATGGATGGTCTTAAAGGTGAGGATGAGGATCTTGAATTCGATCGTCTGGGGGACGGGGAGCCAGTGGGTCGGGCAAGGGTGGCAGTGATGGGGTCACGGAGCCTGGTGTAATGAATTATCAGAGACTGTAAGACTGCCAGAGATTTTAACGGACTGCCAAAGAGATTGTAACCAGCTGATGGAGACGGTACCTGGCTGATAACTAGCTGTCAGACTCCGTAACTAGCTGCCTAGGCATTGGAAGACATTGATTCATTTGTTTGCATAATACGGGCTGCAGGGAGGTCAGTCCAACTCACCCTATTCCAATTGGTGGAAAAAAGTAAGCTTGCTCAAAGGTTTGTTGCAATTGGTGTCCGTTTGAGCTTTCTTCGTAAGGTCAAAGGAATGTTAACCCCATTTGCCTAAATAAATCACCCGCAAAATACACAGTCAATTCACTTTATAGTATATTCTGCGAGACCGTTGGATAGCACACTTCTCCAATCAATAGACCCAGTTAATGTTGTACAGGTACCAAAGTGGCAAAGGACTGCTGAACCATGAATATCGCAGGCTCCTTTTACACCGTGGTTCTCAATTTCATATTACTGTTCAATCTTCAACGGTGCTCAAAGTCTGAATAATACTGTACAGAATTCAATGTTCGTACTTTGCAGGTAGAAACTAGAGTAACATCTGTAGACGCTACTGCAGTAAAAGCACAAGGTGAAAGAGACTGGGCTCGACAGTAACGGGCTGGAATGACTTAGAAACACTCAGCAGCTCTGTCCTTCCGCAGATTTCTGTCACATTTGACACAAAAACAACATTCCAATTCCAATAACAACAACTTGCATTTATATAGTCCCGTCACGTGGGATAAGTGTCCCAGAGCGTTTCCAAGAGGCCTTAATGCTTCCAAAACATCACCCAGGTTATGAGGTCCAACGTGGCGAGTTTGAGATTATTAATTTAATCAATCTATCCAACTAACTCCATTAATCAGCTAAAGTATGTGAATCACCAGCATAGGCTATACACATGCGTCCTGTTGCGTTTACCTGAATCCATGGCAATGACGGTCATGATATACTGTGCTGTTGTCTCACGATCCAGGCGCTGGACCAGGCTGAGTTGTCCATCAGGCGTCAAAGTAAAAGCCCCGTCTTCATTTCCATCTACAATGGTGTAAGTCAACTGACTGTTCAGTCCTTGATCATCGTCACGAGCCACAACCTACACAAACACACAAAGCACATAAATCCAGGGATAAATTATATTGACTCGAAACTCAGAGGCAATTTGCAATATCTCATGTTGAGTACGATGTGGTTGTCATTCTTTTGAACATCTATATGGACGTAGGAGTCAAAAAGAGACAAGAGATTATTCTGTTCCATGCATTTCAATGAAGTGGATAAGATGTTGAACTGATAATAATAATCATAATTCTTGTATTTGATATAGTGCCTTATCAAGTCTTCGAGACGTCTCAAAGCGCTTCACAGAATATACTGTAAAGTGCTGTGACTGTGTATTTTGTGAGCGAAATGTGCCAGCCAACTGTGCGCAGCAGCGTCTCACAAACAGTTGTGGATTGAGCGACCAAATTATTATTCATTTGTTATTAGATCTCAGTTTTATTTCAAATCCACTTCATAGAGTACCTGGATATTGAAGATCGTTTGACACTATTCAAAAAGAGAAGGAGGTTTTGTTAGGCATCCTGGCCGACAATCCCCCAGATTAATCAGACATTCACCTTAGAGTTACTTGCAGGAAAGACGTTGCTGGCACAAGCAGCTAATTTTGTTTGCTCACAAAAAAGCACTTGATCTTCAGCTTTAAACGTTAAGCTGGTGTCTCAGGTTAACCAGCTCTAAGATGCTGAGATCCACAGGGCAGCAGGTTCAACAGTGCTGTGGACAGCTCAATGATTATCACAGGCGGCTATGGTCACAATAAGTTGTACAGAGTCGGAGGTNGGGGGTTAGGGGGAGGGTGTTCACCCACGGCCAGTCATCAACTGGGACATTGGCAGGAGTGTAATGGCCGGTGTCTTCAGTGAAAATTTCACCCACAAAATAGAGTCAATTCACTTTACAGTATATTCTGTGAAGCGCTTTGAGACGTCTCGAAGACGTGATAAGGCGCTATATCAAATGCAAGGATTATTTATTATAAACTGAATGCCACATTCTTCATCCCTACATATTGTACAAAGGCTTGGCAATCAGTTTCAGCCAATAAATTTGGTCTGAAAATTCTATTGTTGTGAACTGATCGAGCTTGGCACTCCTACGTTACGACACTAAGCAAAACTTTGAATGAATTGCTATCTTGAGATGACTGCCAACATCTGCTATCCCAATTGGTTTGGGGCTCAGCAGTGCATAGGAAAATCAAAAAAACAAAAAAAAATCACTTTGAAACACTTGTCTGGGTTCAGTCAATGAATCGTTTTGAGCGCAAAATGTTTGTACGAACAGCTTGGAATGTTAACCACCCCATCTGGCTAATTCCAGCCACATGTTTTTTTTAAAAAGGGGGCTGTGTTAGAGTAGCACCAACCTGCAGGGTGGACTTTGGCAGATGCTGCACGTTCTCCTCCACATGCACCGTGTAGGGAGACAGTTCAAAGGATGGTACAAAATCGTTCATGTCTGTGAGATTTATATTGACCAGAACTGTGGCCATCTGTGGGCTGCTTCCACGGTCACTGGCTCGCACAGTCAATGAGTACGAAGGCTTTGTCTCCCGGTCGAGTTGCTTCGCGACTGATATCATACCAGTAACGGAATCGATTCGGAAATCATTGTTCAGATTGCCACTCATAAGAGTGTAGCGGACCTGCCCATTATTGCCTTCATCCGCGTCGGTGGCACAAACTTGAACGAGATCGATGCCGCTCAGTGTGTTTTCACTGATCTCTACCTTGTAGCCAGGCTGCTGGAAGACCGGCACATTATCATTCACATCCAGTACAATAACTGTAATGTCCATAGAGGAGGAGAGAGATGGCTGACCCTTGTCTGTGGCGATCACGGTCAAAGTGTAATTGGAAATGTCTTCCCTGTCCAGTTGGCCTGTCAGTCGTAGCTCTCCATCGATGGTTCCGATACTGAACTTGGTCCCTGAAGACATCCGCAGGGTGTACTCTACATAGCTGTTGGGTCCGCTGTCGGGATCAGTGGCTTGGGCTTTGTAGACAATTGTGTTCAGCGGAGAGTTTTCCTGTACGTAGGTCATCTTGGAGGAAATAAACCTTGGCGGGCTATCGTTGACGTCGAGCAGAATAACAGATACCTGCGCTGTGCTCGTGAGCCGGATGCCCGGGGTCTCAGCTAAGTCATGAGCCCTAATAATCAGGTTATAGAATGACTGACTTTCCCGATCCATTTGTTGCTCAACACTCAGAATGCCGTCGCTGCTGATACTGAAATGATCCAAAGAGTCGCCCGAAGCAATGGTGTACGCCAACTGAGAATTGGGTCCTGTCAATAGAAAAGAAGTAAACAACGCTCTGAGTACGTTGCATTGCTGACACATAGCAATTCAGATATTAGTCCACTTAAATTCATGTGAAATTGTGCACAAGAGTGGTTCAGATGAAAAAAAAGGCCTTTTTGTTCCATTTTGGTCCAAGATCACAACATTGATTTGGATGAAGAAGGCCCTTTGCCTGATCTTATCCTTTCAGAATACCCACCTTACCGTCTTCCAATCACATTAAGCTACTTTTTAAATGAGTCCAGTGACCTGCCCTCACCCACACTTATGTCAACCTATCGCTAACTGCCCTCTGAGTAAAGAAAAACTTTCTGGTGTCTGCCCTGAAATTGCCCTTTACAATTCTAACAACACATCATCTTGGCCTCAGCTACCCTTCCCGGTAAACTGCTTAAGTCGTTAATTGACTTCTGGATTAAAACATGTATTTTCCTGGTGTTTGACTTGAAATTGCCCTTTGCAAACCTATACCTGTCCTCTCGTTCCGCTTTGGTGTATCTGAAAGCATTGTCACAGCAATACATGATTCATTCCTTATTGACCAACCACATGTATATTTCTCATAGGAATTCCTGGAATTCTATCCACTGACATTCACAAACAGCAAAATCACCGAGCCATCTAGAGCTATCATGAAGTTAATACAACCACTATACATCCAACAAAATTCAATTTACTTCATGCTGACTGTAACAGGCCAAATTATATGTTCGACTATCACATGATTAATTAAACTCCTGTAATGCCAGTGTCCTCAGTTCCCCTTTTCTGTCATTTGTTGTAAAAACAAATTTCCCTTGGGGCTAAATGCAGTGAATATGATGTATGCTTACAATGGAATTTTCCCATGAGCAGAGGCCATTTAACTGGATGCACTTAGTGGCAAGAGGAATTTCTCACCCTCAGCCTATAACATTTCGGCAGGTCAAGGGATTTCACCACATCAAATAATCTGGAGATTTACTGTATTGGAGCTGTGCGTGCTACAAGACCAGAACATGGGTGCTGGCAGTGCAAAATGTGTAATTACTAGAAAAGGGCTTGTTTTCAAGAGTCAGATTGGAATTTAAGGGGGGCCGGGGGCGCGGGAGGTGGAAATCAGCTTTCATTCGGCCTCTGCCCTAAGCACCAAAATCCCTCGAAAAAAAAACGACTTTGAAACGTAATCCATCAGAATCCAGTCAGAAAGGATTTAGATGCAGTTTATGTGAGATAGCTTCACTGTGCAGTTATACTGAGTGCCTCAAGTATGAACGTCTTCTGCGCACACACACACACACTCCAACAAATAGTGGACTGAATCAAACACCACTGAAGATCTCGTAAAATTGCAAAAGACTCAGGGACGTAAACAGCAGTAGATTAAACCTCTCTGGACTCGGTTGGCACCAGCCTGCTTCAACCACACGTTGCCAAACAACAACTTTGTAAATAACAGGAAATGCACAGATAACACGCGTAGTTTAATCCCTGAAGCCGAACGGTCAGACGATGCAACACAAGGGGAAAGAAATTAAAGCAAAGAGACTGGCGGGAAAAATTCTCAAATGAAATACATAAACTCAAATCAGTTTCGGATCAAAGCTCAGCTTGAAAGGAAAGATATGGGATCTCCAAAGGCACTTCAGCCATCTTGTCCTCGCTTTCTGCTCCATTAGTGGGCTAACTAATTAAGCACTAAGATAGGACCACCGTCCACACTCTGAGCTGACCTTTCCTTGCCCCTCTTGCCTCCACAGTAAAGCGTTGACATTTGGCTGAATAAGAACGAATGCTCGAGCATTTAGAGCAAACACTTGAGTCTCTCTTTAAGATACCCCAGGTCTACCTCCCAAAGGCCACATATGCAATCTTGATGCGAGAGCTTGGCCAGATTATGGCCTTCCCTTCGAGATGCATCACTGAACAGCCCAACAAAGTATACAATTCATCTTACACAAGGGTCGTAAGTTTGAATCCCAGGCTCCACTAGCAATTAAACTTGCCTGCCCTGTTGAGTGAGCTTTTCCAGCAGCGTTGCCACATGTGTGGTCTGAGACCCAGCAGGTTATTTACAGTTGTTTATTCTGTAATCCAGAAGAAATGCTAACCTCAGGTCCTATGGGGTCATGACTCCCATCAGTATTTTGATTGTTAAAATTCTACACTCGTTTTATCATTGTACCACACAAGCACACAGGATAAAAAGCATTACTAGCACAGACCAACTGGGGTCAGGCACAGGAAATGTTGCATGTTACTGAGTGGCTCTGGCAAGATTCAAAGACCATCACAATATCATAGGTTAGGTTCCACTGTATTTCTGCAACTCACTGCAATGGATCCCTCTGATCTCTGATGTACAAATCAAAATGCTCCAGTGTGGTGTGATCAGCGTTCAAAAAAGATGCGTGAGGCAAAATTATGGATGGGTGATGTGATAATTATGACCTGTGATAATCATCACATGGTTAATAAATGGCCAGTCGATAAGAAGTCTGACTTTGGATGTGACTCAAAGTGTCAGTTAGTTGGATATTGGCTTAAAGTAAACAAAAATAAATCGGAGTTAAGACAGTATCTCGCAAACCAAAACTCCAATACAATGAACTGTTGAGCAACAAGTCCGATGGCTACGTGGAGTCCTGTAGCTCAGAGGTTAGAGCACTCACTCACAAGCGAGAGACCTGGGTTCGATTCCCGGAGGGCGAAATGTTGGGCAAGTTTCCTTACTCCACACGCCTCTGTTTGCCTAGCAGTAAGTAGGAATCCGGTCGTTAGCCGATTGGCAGATCGCTTTTCTGGGGTAATGATTCCTTCAAATTTTTTTAAAAAACACAATAATTTGGTCACTCAACCCACAACTCTTTGTGGGACACTGCTGTATGCAATTGGCTGCCGAGTTTCACCCACAAAATAAAGTCAATTCACTTTACAGTATATTCTGTCAAGCGCTTTGAGACGTCTCAGAGACGCGATCAAATGCAACAATTATTATTAGTACTTTAGGCCGGGGGGAGGGGGGGGGGGGGGGAAAGGTGGTACGTTTAAAGAGGAAAGTCTTGAGGCGGACCCTGAAGGAAACAAATCAAAGGGAATTCGGGGTGGAGTTCCATAGTGTGGGGGTAAAGGCTATTAGGAATGAGATGAAGATGGCAAGAAAGAAAGGTTGAGGTCAGGACACTGGACTCATTTAAGAACAGCCTCTTAATGCTGCAATGGGAAGACAATGCGAGTCAGTACGGAATTCAGCTCACTGTGGGTTGAAGTGCCTCACTTCTCTTGTTAGATGGAAAACCAATTCCTCCACAATGCCACACATTATCTGGTGATATTTCCAGCAGCCTTATTATTTTAATGAGTGCTCCTAAAATAAAATAATAAAAATGCAGGGTTACGTGGCCTTCTTTTTAATAAAAAAGGAGGCATGTGTAACGATACATGTGTAATTACTGTTTGTGGCAGGGCTACAAGGCAAGAGAGAAGCAACACTGGGCATAACAAAGTGAGCTCTCTGCTTACCCATGACTATAATTGCAGTCTACTTTCTTTTTATTTGGGTACTGGCTGCACATCCCACTGGGCCTTAAACACAGATAGCAAACAGCATTTCAGGTCAAGCTAATTACAGAGTTAATTGGGAAAAGCCAAAATGTCCGGCGTAGCATGGGCTTCGATACTTTCTGCAGGATAAGGCTTTGCTGTGGCTCAACAATGTGATACCAAATTGACCCAAGAGGTTTGTGAAAACAGTGGTGGCTCTGGCTTTGATTGTTATAAATAGCGATCTAGTGGTCTTTGCAAGGAGATATCCCATTATAAAGACCAGTGACAAACAGTCATCAGAGGCTAGGGAAGTGAAGACTTCCTCCCGCCCACACAGAGTCTGCCTCTATAATAATAATAACGATAATAATAGTTCTTGCATTCGATATAGTGCCTTATCACGTCATCGAAACAACAACAACAACAAAATTACATTTATAGAGCGCCTTTCACGTCGGGAGGACGTCCCAAGTTGCTGGACAGTCAGGGTCTCAAAGCGCTTCACAGAATTTTTGTGTAAAGTACAGTGACTATATTTGTAGGCAAACGCAACTGCCATCAATGTCCCACAAACAGCCATAAAGTGAGTAACCAATTTTATTGGAGGGATTATTGGCCAAGACACTGGGGGAAACTCCTTCTCTTTTTGGCTATTGCGCAGGAATCAAAACCCCTTTCGAGGCTAGCCTCTACTGCTCTCTCTTTGTTTCTGAGTAAGGCAGCAGTAGAGGCTAGCCTCAAAAGGGAATCCATCATGATGGACATAGAAACAGAATGAAACAGTAACAGACTCTATTTATCCTACAATCCAATTTACATTTAGATAGTGACTTTCACGTCGGGAGGACATGGGTCTCGAAGTGTTTATTGGCTGTTGTGCAAGAAGCCCAGCTCATTTGAGGCTTGCCTTAAAATCGTTTGGGACACGAAGCACAATTTTGTTTTTCTTACGCCTTCCCCTAAATGTTACCCTACTTAAAGGGCGCTATACAAATGCAAGTAGCTGTTACTGAAGAGAGGAGCCTCTGCTGGTAAACATGTGGAGAAATGAACACTAATTGTAGGAATCGGGGGGTAAGTCTGAAACCGCTACCCTGATATTTCAAACCAGTTCAGTCCCACAGAATGTTTACAGCACGGAAGAATGCCACTCGGCCCATTTTATGTGTGATGGGCTTAGCTCCTCCAACGCAATTGTGTGTTCTTATCCCATTCCCCTGCTCTTTCCTCCATAACATTTAGTACTTAGCCCATTTCAACTCGAGTGCTGTTATGGACTCAGCTTCAACAGCTTGCCTGATAGTTACAGAATTGTGCAAAGCGGATATTTATCAGGCTGTTCTACAACCATTACCGACTTGAATACTGGAACAAATCACGCCACGACCAAAGGTTTTGTGCCCCAATCGAAATGTACAACGCACTTTGAGTTGGAGAAAATACAACATTTAGATGACCCGGTGGTGTTACACTGGTAGCTGTGAGATCCTGTTGAAACTACCATAAGAGTTTAACTCTGAAACTAGCACCTGAATTTATCTCTTAACAAAAATAAATTGAATGGGATATTCAGTGGCATTCATACAGAAACAAATGAAATTTCTGCTAGGAATATGAAGCAAGCGGTATAGTACGCAGCTACTCCTAGCAACGTAATGCCTTGCACGTCTAATGGTACAGTACGCACTGCTGAGTTGCCTTGTGAGTTGGAGGGGAAGGAGGAAGAACATTATAGACTCACTTCAATGGCAGACAGGGCACCCATTCACACTACCAAAATCCTGTAATAAAGCTCTTAACCCACCCTCAGCAGGGGATTGATGCTTCACTGGTACCCGTATGGTAGATGCACACTGCCAGGTCTGTTCTACAGTGGAGACTAGGTTAGATTTGTAACAGTACATGCTTGACAGCGTAAATGGGATATAAGAACCTATTGTGTGTTGGAAGGATGAAAGACGGGAAATCTTATGAAACTCGTCCATCCTGGGGATCAGTCATGTTTGCCAATACATCACCAGAGTCTTATCTTAAGTCTGATGCTGCATTTAACACTGACTAATTAGACTAACTGGGTCATTAAACACGAATGCTGTAAACAATTTCTTCCACTCAGAGTTTCCAATTCCCACAAATAAACAACAACCCATCAACAACCTGTCAGATCTTCATCTCTCTTCTGTCACACAAATCACAATAGGCCCATTTTGGACTTAAAACGAGGTTAACATGCCGGGAAGGAGAAACAATAATGCTTTTAGAGTTGATACAATATCTTGATATGCACAAAAGCTGAGGATAGAGTCACTGCAGCTGAATGAGAATGTAATGTATCCATGAAACAGTTCTTTGATTTCTTTCAATTGCGTTGATTTGTTAACCGTAAAATGGATTATTGTTTTTCTTTGAATAAATTGACATTTCTCACGCTATTTCAGTGTTCAGACACGTTGCCCTATAAGCCTACAGTTGTACTTTTAATAACGTGTTTTGTAACAAGAGGAAAAGTAATATGGTATGAAATCAACGTTAAAATTATCATCCTGACCTGGCCTCAAGCTCTCTTGATTTTCTATGGCATACTTGACATTCCAATGTTTAAGAGTGTTTATGTGTGAAAATTAATGCTGTGTTTATATTGCGGCAAACTGCAGAGATGGTTCAAGTAGCAGCGACTCCGAGGTACCTTCAGGCAGCTGGGGTTGTGGATATTGCCTTGATTACACTGGAATTGAGAGCACCAACCGACACTGAAAAAAGTGCCCTTGTGTTGTGTAAACGGCAATTTCATTCAGTAGCCAAGGACCTTCCTTCCCTGCTGTGTGGGAAGGTCTTACACAGACCAGCCTCTGCTTACCTGTGATCACAAAGTAATGGCACACAGGGCAGACAGAGGCAGCCTAGCCTGTTTATCACATATTGCATTACATACCCGAAGCCTGAAATTAATATTACGTGGTTCCAGATCTTATCTACTTATTAGCGCAAAACTAATTTCACTGCTCCCAACCCGACCCTGCAAATGTTCTTCCAGCCGTTAAGCTTTGCAGCAACGTTGGGTCTGCTCCAACTTTAGCCCAATCCAACCCAGCATAACCTCCAGCTATAAAATCTCATTTCTGCTCCCAAATCCTGAGTATATTTCTATTTACTTTGCTCGTAAATTTACATGAGGGGATCCCAGGAATATAGTGAATTTAATTTTCCCATGGAACAAATCCGTTTAACAGTGAATGTGCGTTAATGGAAAGAAACAACAAAGCTTTTGATTTGACGACCAAAAGGATCATTTGATTTGCCATTGAGTTTTAGAAGTCTGCAATCTGTTAAAATATTGTGGTCAGTTTAGCAGTACATTCAATATATTTCATCTAATGTACTGAATAATAATAATAAAATAATCTTTACATTTGTTACAGAGCCTTTCACGTCAGGAGGACTTTCCAAGGACTTCAAAGGATATAATGCAAGGTGCTGTGACTGCATTTTATAGGCGAACACGCTGAAATGTGCAGAAAATGAACAAACTCTCTTGCTCGTTGCTATTTTCAATGCTGAATTCTGGTTAGACTCTTGGCATTGGAATTCTTGATCATGGGTTTTAAACTTCCATTTAGTTGAGATTCTCTGAGCCAGAAATACAATGCTATAGGCACAACATCACAGATGTCACAATTGAGCATAGGATGGGGAGGGTTGGTGGTGGGGGGCTGGTGGTGTGAGAGAGAATGCCCTCTGTATACCTTGGTATATTTGACACAGTAAAATACAGCTAAAGCACCACTTAACTGTCCTTTTCATTAACCATCTACTTTTACACCTCAAATAAGAGTACTTTTGAGGGTGAAAAAGCACTGGAATGGCATAACCATAGAACCACTGGAAAAGGCTTGCAAAGCAAACTGTGTTATGCACACCATATCCACTTACCAAAGTGTTTAATTCCAACCTGGGGATAACATCTCACATGATGTACCTGGTCATCATGATGCTCGCGATGCTGAAGCAAGCACAGTTTATGGGCAGGGTATACTACATTGTGGTTATTCTTTTCAAACTGTTTTCAACCCCGCTCTCAAGAAAGCAGCCTATTCCTCAAATAATTCCTTCCTGCAGCCCAAAAGGATTGAATCTAACATGCAACCTTTGATTGTGTTCTCTCTTTAGTGAAGAAAACAGACAAGATCCACAGAAAACAGACAATAGAAGACGTTGACTGAGCAAAAACTATTGCAAGAGTCACTTATGTTCAAGTTAGCAGCACAAGCAATCACAGCTGCCCCTCAAGAATCTCTGTCCATCCGAAAGATGCCATAAAAACAGGAGCAATGTAGCTTTTGATGTTGTTTCTGCTATCTGTAGAACTTTTTCCCATTCAACGTTGTCACCGAGTAAATATGACTAGCTGAGAGGTTTATAGGAGCCAATATTATTGGCGCATTGGAAAGCTCTGGTTATTCATTGAGACCCAGCATCTGAGTAACCATCAGGGACAATGTCCTTGTTGCAATTGTGCTTGTCTATACCTTTCTCACCTTCCCCCAAAACATGCATTTTGTGTTTCTGTGCTGCTTATTATTCTTAAAGATAACATTACCATTGGGACTTATCTGTCAACACAAAATCTGTAAACACATCTCCTGTTAGTTAATATAATAATAATCCTTGCATTTGATACAATGCCTTATCAAGTCTTCAAGACATCTCAAAGCGCTTCACAGAACATACAGTAAAGTGAATTGACTGCATATTTTGTGGGCGAAATACAGCAGCCAATTGCACACAGCAGTGTCCTACAAACAATCGTGGATTGAGTGACCAATTTATTAATATCCCTAGACTGCCCAAAGATCTGTGCACTTCTTTTAAATATATCTATTGATTTCACCTCTATAGCTTTCTGGGTCAAAGAATTCCCCTTCTTCACAACCTCCTATGTGAAGAAATCACTTCCTGCCCTCAATTCTACTTTTTATGCACTGCAGGAAATCAACTTCTAAATCAACAATGAATTTGAGACCATACTCCAAAATTCCATCTAAGCTGAAAATTGTTAAAAAAATCGTCTCAAACACAAGAACATGAGAAACGTATGGCTCCAATTCTCCATACAATTAGATTTGGAGAGTCTGTATTACTTCTGTATCCCCCCCATTACAAAAAATCAGCCCCAAACTCCAACCGCAGCCCATCCCCAGATGGATTTTTCATTAAGCGACCTGGTTTTCTATGAAGAGAATACCATTCCTGGGCATTGGTTTCCCCTCACTTCATTCTTACTGACTCATCTGGACCTAACAAGCACAAAGCAATAAGAACAGGAACACTGTGTCCCTAGTCTGATGAGTTTACAGAAACAAGACTCCCATATATATCCCCACGTGATCCATTAATGGCTACCAAATGGCATCCTCCCTGATGTCCCTCTGCAGTCTAGGATGCTCACTGCCAGGACCTGGTGATCTTTCCACTTAGAGCTTTGTCAACCTTTTCAATACCACTTTCTTTTCGCTCTGTAATTAACCCATTGAATTGCTCCACTTTCCCCTCTGGTAGGCTTACATTCCCACTGCCTCGCTCTTCAGTGAAAATCGAGAAGAAATACTTATTGAGTAGCTGTTGGCAACTATCAGAATGGCCAGAGTATTATGTAATACAATACGCACCATCATCTGCATCTGTAGCGTTGACGGTCAGAATGCTTGCTCCAGGAGGTAGGTTCTCCAACACCGCAGTGCTGTATGACGAAGGATTAAAAATGGGAGGATTGTCATTGACATCCAGCACATTGAAGTAAACCCGTACTGTGCTGAACTGTCCGCCGCCATCTTCTGCTCGCACGGTGAGAATGTAATACCGCTGGCTCTCGTAATCCAGTGGGCGGGTCACGTTGAAGACACCGGTTATGGAGTTGAGGAAGAACATGCTGTCTTCGTCGTCCTCTTGCACCACGTACGTGACTTCTCCATTGGCACCGGAGTCGGCATCACTGGCCAGGATCGCTGCCACGATGGAGCCTGAGGCATTCGAACAGAGGAATTAGAAATCTGGCTTCAAACAAACACAGACACTGTTCGAAAGTTACCAAATACGTTCTTCTTCAACGAAGAACAGAATTATATTTTTTTTGAAAACATGCAGCCGCAATGAGTTCATTTTCGTTTTAACAGAACCTTTTGGTTTCTGCTGCTGCTTTTGCAGCTTTCCCTCTTAAACACTCCCTTTTAGCACAAATCGTTGGGTATCAAAACGCTAAAAAAATCTCATGATTAGAACAGACCCTTATTAAAATGAACAGCATTGGTTCATGCCAACCTGCACTTAATACACTCGGGAATTTTGCAAGACGGGTGTGTCCATCTGGGTGTGCATTTTATTCAAAACACAGAGAACTTTATATATATATATATAACATAATAATCCTTGCGTTTGGTATCGCGCCTTATCACATCTTTGAGACGTCTCAAAACGCTGCACAGACTATACTGTAAAGTGAATTGACTGCATATTTTGTGGGCGAAACGCGGCAGCCAATTGCGCACAGCAGCGTCCCCCACAAACAGTCGTAGATTGAAGTGACCAATTTTATTATTTTTTTCTTGAGGGATTATTATCAGGCGTGTGAGGTAAGGAAACTTGCCCAAGGTTTTGGCCCGCCGGGAATCAAACCCAGGTCTCTCGCTTGCGAGGCGAGTGCTCTAACCCCTGAGCTACAAGACAAACTTTCCATTTGTAGATGGCTGAGATATGTGGACCTCTCAGTCTGGTTTGGATACTCTTGAGCATGGTGATGGGCATCTGTCAGATACCCAGTTGATCAAAAGATTTATGCAAAGGTATATGCACCTCATCGCAATGTCGAGACGTCTCACAGATTATACTGTAATGTGAAATGGGTGTGTTTTGTGGGTGAAACCGACAGCCAATTTGTGCACAGCAAAACAGCCAAGGAGTGAGTGACAAATTTTATTTGGGGGATTATTGGCCAAGACACAGGGAGAAACTTGCTTCTCTTTTGGAATAGTGCCATGGGATCTTTAATGTCCACCTTGGTTTAACATCTCATCTAAAGAGCAACATCTCCAACAATGCAGCACATCCCCACAGCGCACTGGAGTGTCAGACTAGATTGTGTGAGCTCAAAGTCTCGACTTTGGGGCTTGAACCCACAACCTTCTGACTCAATTTTGTGGCACTTGTGGCACAATGTAGCAGTTAGTTTATTGTCTGCTTATTAAGACAGTCATGTTGGGGATTCTCCAGAGGGAATGTGCATCACATTTGAACGCTTTGAGATATCCTGCTGGTGAGAAAGCCGCTATATAAATATAAATTATATTTCATTGTACAATTGATCATTACAGTTGGATCTATCACACTATGTTTCACGTCGGGACATCCTCCCGATGTGAAAGGCGGTATACAAATGTAATTTTGTACTGTATTGTTTTTAAATTAAAACAAACTGTTTTTAGTGATCAATGTACAATGGCTATTTGCTTGTAAAAGGACCGTCACTAGACTGAACAATAATTTCTGTGAAGCTTCGACATGATGAGGCGTGTTGTGATGTTTCGACATGATGAAGTGTGTTATGAAATACAAGGATTAGCAATAGACACCAATCGTGTTTCACAGCAGATCACAAAGAGTGGTGAGTCGAAGCTCTAGTATTGCAGTCTCTTTCAAGAGCACATAGTCTTGGACAGAATTGTTTTGTCTCTTCCTGTCTCTTTTTTAAAAAAAATTGGGCAAACCACGCGCTTCAAAAATCTCTTCCACAAAGAGAGCAGTATTTAATGATCCTTTAAAAAAATAATAATTTGGTCACTCAATCCACGACTGTTTGTGGGACATTGCTGTGGCTGCTGCGTTTCGCTTCCAAAGTACACAGTCAATTCACTTTACAGTATATCCTGTGAAGGGCTTTGAGACGTCTCGACGACGAGATAAGGCAAGGATTATTATCATTATTATTTTAGAAAATAAGAGTACAGAATAATGAAAGGCAAAAAGTTTCATGAAAGGCTTAACGGATGGAAACCTTTTGCTTATCGTTTACCACAGAAACTATTTCAAGGAATCCAGTTTATTTATTTATCCGAGACATTTATACCGGATATCCCAGTAAAGCTTGAGAGCTTGCTTACTGTGGGTTGTTGCCCAAGGGTGGCTAATTGGCACAACACAATGCAGAGGCAAAGCGAATACAGCACAAATCAACACAAGGCTGTGTTGAACATTTGGAATTCCTCAGCGGCTCAGTCAGCCTCTTGTTTTGAAGCGAAGCAATTGACAATTTATCTATTAACTGAGAAACATGATCCGAGTTGTCTGGGGTGGTATTCCGCATTGTGCCAATCGGCTGTTGCGTTCGCCCACAAAACACACTCACTGCACTTTACAGTTCATCCTGTGAAGTGTTTTGAGGTGTCCTCCCGACATGTAAGGACTATTAATCATAACACATGACTGAGTACATATAGGAATTTCTGTGTTACAGGAAGAATAGAGCACAAATTAAATGGAACGAAAACTGGCAATTCTCCCACTTCATGGGAATCGCCCAACTACTCTGTCTCGATACACCTGAACCCTGAAGATAATCAAAATCTGCAATGCCCCCAAATCTCAGTTGAGGAAAAACTTAAAAGCTATTCTCAGTGAAAGTCAGAAGAAAAGATCTGTAGTACTTACTGATGCCAGATTCCGGGTTCTTTTACTGTCTTACCTGGTGCAGTGTCCTCTTGTATGTCAAACGAGTAGACATCCTTGGTGAATTTAGGCGTGTGATCATTGACGTCGCTGACAGTGATGTTAATCCTCATGTCAGAGGACTGCAGTCCATCATCAGCTCGAATGAGTAACGAGTATTTCGACCGCCGCTCTCTGTCTAATCGCTTGGTGGCCACAAGATCTCCGGATTCTGGATCGATCTGGAAACTGTTGTCCGCTCCGCTGATGATCGTGTACGTCACAAGGGCATTCGGGCCCTGCAAAAAGTCAACAGTGCGTGGCAATGAGTGAAATAGTGAACAGGAGAATCAATAATGTATGTAACAAACCTCTTTTAGACTGACGTCATGATAACAATAAGCCACTGTGCAGTCACGAAACAAAAAACAGTCCTTGCGTTCGGTATAGTGCCTTTCATGTCGGGAGGATGTCTCAAAGAGCTTCACAGGATTTATTGTGAAGAGACCGAGTATTTGTCGGCGAATGCGGCAGCCTATTTGCACGCAACGATGTTCCACAAACAGCAATGTAATGAACAGCCAATTGCATTTGGATAAATCTAAGAAGGCGCCTTGCAGAGGTTCATAAGACGCTAAATGGAACTCAGAAAACAAACCCCAAGTAAGAATTCACATATGCCAAGGCAGTAGAAAAAAAAAAGGACTATTTTCAGGGGTTTTGAAGGCCAATTTGAGGTCATACAAAAGGACATATTTCTTTATACGACTGAAGCAACAGCTTGGTCACATCATGGAGAGACAGTAGAGTTGGGATTTTGGAAGCTTAAGACCAGTTGAGCCTAATGGACTTCTTTATGTTCAGCCAAACCTCTCATGATCTTTTGAAAAGGATCAAAATGCACTGCTCGTGAATTCGCACGCGACGTGTTACAGTCTGCAGTTAGTCTGCATCAGGCTAATGATTCAATTGGTGACCTTTTATTTCTAAGACCACTTACTGCCAAGACATTCCCGAAATCCAGCCAAATGTATGTCAAATCTTTTAGGCTGCTGTTGAACATAGAAAGAGATTGAATTTGAGATGTCCAGGTTTCCGTGACACAATTCGTAAACTCCCGGAGACGTACAGGCATCCAAAGCAATCCTCATGCACTTCACCTTCACAGGCAGAGGGCCAGACCTCACACCATAGACTTAAATAGTGTTACAGCACGCACAGGAACAAGCCATTCGGCCCAACTATTTCATGCTGGTGTTTATACTCCACATGAGGCCCTAAATATTATTCTCCTCTATTCCCTTCTCCCTCAGGTGTGCCTCAAGTTTTCTCTTTAAATACTGAAATGATCCAGACATTGCTGGACCCTTCAGCCACTAATGTTTCTTCCTGTGTCACTTTGTTTGAGTTGGTAAATCAAATGTTGTTTGATGCGAGTACTGGCTAGTCAGTGGAAGTGTCAGGTGTGCTACGCTTCTATAGCAGACTCGCGTTTCAAATGAAGTAGAGCTATATTGAATGCCATTACAGTACATGGTGGAGCAAGAGTGTTATTTTGGTAGGAGTGCTGTACCCTGGGTTTAACATGGGGGCTGAAAATCCTCTCCTGTATATAACCAGCATTTTTCGCAGCCCATCGTTTTTGTGTAAAACTAAATGGGCCATAAAACCTGTTTCGATTTCAACTTGCCTTCAATAAAGCAGGTGGGAAAAGCACCGGGCAGAACAAGTGGACGCTGGAAATAGTGCTTCTTCAGCGTTCGCAAACAGGATTCAGGATTAATTTACCAGTTTGCAAATATGGGACTTCAGATGAAGGCGCCTTTGAGCAAGGTACAGAGAGTAGCTGGAGTCTGTGGTACTCTTAACATAGGACTGGAGCAAGATACAGAGGGCCCCAGTGTGTGTGGACTATGTCTAACATAATCTTCAGGAGAGGAAGGAAAAAAAGTATAAAGTAATAAACCCTGCATTTGAAACATAAACCTAAGATTTGAAGCCCCACGGAGCCAAGTGTCTCGGCATAATATTGAGGGATGTCTTTGTATCTTCACTATTGGATTACAGATAAAATAAATAAAACAATATATACTCTACATCAATATGGTGTGCACTAAACTAATCCAACCTTCATCCATAAAAAGTGACTTTTACAGCTGCAATGCTCTATTTCTAAACCAATAACAGATGCAGTTGAATATTTTTAGTGTCAGTTATAATTTCTCTTCTATACCTTCTCAGTTTTCTTTTCCAGCAGTGCTGATCTTGGGTTTGTATATACAGGTGTCCCTGCTTTGTGAAGCACTTGCCTTTCAGCACAGGCACAGAAAGATCTGAACAAGGCTTTTTGGACATTCACATTTTCCGTGGTCTTACATGCCTCTCAGCTCAGTTGTTGTTGTTTCATTCTTGTTGTAATGAGCACCAGCTATATAAGCACTCTCACACTGCAAGGAGCTGAATTTTAGGAGTGCCGTTTTGCGAAGGTGTAGGCAGCAACACTTTTTCAGTCAAGGAAAGATTGTGATGAAAAAAGAATTTGATAAACATATCAGACTACCCATATAATCTGGTAGTATTTACTGCGAGAATAGTTGGCAATGGGTCTCCTTTCCTTAGAACAACAAAAGTGCAATTCAATTGTATTAAGGGTACATTTACGCATTTCACCCACAGAATATACTGTCAATTCACTTTACAGTATATCATGTGAAGTGCTTTGAGTTATCCTCCAGAAATGAAAGCTGCTTTATCAAAAATAAGGATTATTATTATATCCTCGGCAAATAGAGACATAAATTTCAGATCATTACTAAAATTGCAAACAGAAGGTTGGAGATAATTTTCTTTACACATACCGTTATGGAGTTGTGAAATATCCTGTCAGGGATGGAGGTTGAAGCAAAATACCTCTCAAAAGTGAATTAGACAAACATCAAAATAGAAAAAAGGGTTATAGGGAAAAGGCAATGGAGTGGGACAACACAGATAGCTTTACCATAGAATTGGCATAGGAACAATGGGCCGAAATAATAGTAATAATCCTCCTTGCATTCGATATAGCATCTTTCATATCAGAAGGGTGTCTCAAAAGTGATTCACAGAATTCACTGTAATGTTCTTTTTTGTCTGTATAGTTCGTAGTAGGCGAACTTAGCAACAAATTTGCACACATGATGTCCCACCAGTCAACATGAAAAGAATGAGTAAGTTTATCTGAGAGATTGTTGGACAGGACATCCAGAGAAACAGCCTTCTTTTTTGAATAGTGCCATGGGATCTTTAGCAGATGGGGTAATTGGTTTAACATCTCATCCAAAGGACAGCACCTCCAACTCCAAATGCAGTGGTACTCAGCAATGTATTGGGAGTGTCAGCCTGGATTAGGAGCTCGAGGTTCTGATATGGCAGTTTCTGTGCTGAATAATTCTCTGATTAATTGAACTTTTTTTTTAAAACCACAAGTCGCTACCGCTTTTGGGATTTTGCGTATGATATGGTGTACACAGAGATCACTTTGCACCCTTTATGGGGCAAAATCAGACAAAAGCACACTTGTTGACTGCCTATTGAATACTGCATAATATTTCAACAAGTATGCAAGCTTCAAGGAACATTAGAAACTTGGGAGCTTGCTCCAAGTCTCAATATTGCAGGGCTCAACATTCCAAGTTTTGGTTTAAGTAACAGGATACACAGAGAACCCTGTGAATTAGAGGCACTTTGAGCCAGATTTGTGGAAATCGGGTTCTGCAAAGCTTGAATACTCTCATAAAACACAAAGCTCTTAAAACCTCTGGTGGAAAATCAAGGCAAACATAGAACCGTAGAAATTTACGGCACAGAAGAAATCTTGTCGACCCATCGTGTCTGAGATGGCTCTTTGCAATAGCAATCCATTCAGCGCCCGTTTCGAAATTCTTCGTGCCTCGTATGTCCACCGGCACTAATGACAGTAAGTTGAACTGTTTTAGTGATTTCCTTTTCTGAGATCATTTAATCTATTGTTTGGGCCTTTCTTAAAGAATAAAAAGGAACTCCGCTCCCTTTTAAGTCCTTCTATGTGCTTGTCCTGCAATCAGGTGAACAGCTAGACCCAGGGCTCTCTTAAATGACATGATAGAGGAATGAGACGAGGGCAGCCAGAACAAGCACTCTCTTTCCCTATGAGGAAATGGCTGATATCCACTTATTGGGATCTAAATGGCATTCATAACAGGAGTTAGCATCAGAAACTCCTGCCAGACGTGTGTCACATCCACCCGCAGCAACTCCAGCAATCAAAACTCCAGCATCAACGTGGTCGGTGAGACGCACGTCTGGTTAGTCGGCAGTCACAACTTGCGACGCGGGCTGTATTTTAGAAACCAATCTAGGAACTCACCACGTGCGAAAAGCACTGTTATAAACTAACGTACAATCAATCCAGGTCACTCCACCACCTGTCTTTCACCCTTCATTAAACACATTAGTAGAAGACGTGGCACAGTAGTAAAATGTACTAGGGGTGACTATGTTCGGTACCCGTAGTAGTTCTGTGCGACACAAGCTCAACTTCCCACACCATCCCGCTGTCTTTAATTTCTTGTGCCATTTATCCCGTTGTGGGTGAGATGGTTGTTTCAAAGCAGCCCGATCAGAAGGCTGTGTGCATGTTTGTACAGTGTTCCCTTGTGATCGGTGTCTTGAGATGACCGAGGAAAGGAAAGAAGAAAATCTATTTCATCACTTCAAAAAATTACAAAATGCTAAGCAAAATTTAAACTGAAACAGTTTGGGAAACTTGCGATAGATAATAAACCAGGAGATCTGGTACCAACCAACCTCATCTGCGTCTGTAGCAGACAGTTGCAATATTCGAAATCCGTCCCCGATATTTTCTTCAACAATTAGATCCAGAGCATCAGTAGGAAACACAGGTGGATTGTCATTGATATCTTGCAGGGTTATTTCCACCTAGAAAAAAAACAACACAATATCCGATTAATACACTGTCGGAGGAAATAAAACCATGCATAAATCTTCTTGTACTGTAACAACTTTCAAGGTAGCTATCAGGTGGCCTCATCCATTAATCATGTCTTGGAGAGCATGGCTCTATGATTCCAAACTTTAGAAAAGCAAAAAAGCTCTTTTCTTCCAAACCAGTATGTTTGCGTTTCGTTCTCTTTATCCTTACAACAAGTTGCGTCTATCTAGCTCCCACACACAAATATTACTTCTGCGGCCCCCGGATGTTTCTCAAATAGGGCATCCGGCCCTCAGCAGCCAAAGGGGCCCTCAGCAGCTGACGTAGGGTAAGGTCTCGGAACACTTCACAGGGATGAAGTTGGATCCCAAGCAGGGAGAACAAATGCCTCTAGCATTTTCGAAGAGGTATGGACTTCAAGACAGAATGAGAGGCGATGAGATGTTGTGATAGAAGGAGGAAGTTCCAGAGGTGGGAGCGTAGGATCTGAAGACTTGGCCACCAACGGCGGCGCACAATGGGAGAACAGCGGGGAATGCGCTGGAAAATGTCTAAGTCGGATGTAATGAAAGTCTGAATGTGTACTTCAGAGGCAGTGAGAAAGAGGGGAAAATATTCACGTGGCTCCTGAGCACGCAACTAGAGAAGCCCTGGGTGGACTGAAAGGACTTGTTTTAGTCTGATCTTCCAGGTTCTTCTCAACATTAAAAGACTGTGAAACTGGTTCTGCATTTTTGGACATATTGGTGCCATGAACTTGCTTCTTCTAGATGTTGGATTGAGACATTCCAAGAAAACATTCTGCAAACCTACCGAGAAAGCAGGTCAGTTTTCTAATACACTGCCTCATTGTACATTGTTGGATAGCTAACCTCACGAGGTGGAAGTTACAAAACAGCCACACACAACGCTGTTGAAAAATTAGGGTCTGTAGATGTCAACCTGAGAGCCCAGCTGCGGCGCTGAATGTTAGCCACGGGGATCACTTCCCTTCCTTCTTGGTCTGAGCCAAGCTGAGTGGGGAGGTGCTGACCGCAGTTTGTGGTATTTCCCGAAAGGGAAACTCAGAGGAGAGAGTGTCATTTCAGGATGCCAGAGCCAAGTGGCTGCTGATTTCATAAACACCATTGGCAGTGGCCTGGGAACATACTGCGAGCTCGGTTCAAGGCATCGAGCTGGCATCAAGGTAAAGAAAATTAGGTGAAATTACAAACCAAAGAGGACATTTATCTCTAAAGAATTCAAGAAAAAGAGAGTAAAAAAAAATGTTAGCCTGAAATCTACTAATGTTACTTCAACCTCTTCCAAGGACTGTATTCAATTTTAACTGGAACCAACACCAATAATCTTTTACCAGGGTAATTCCAGGATTCTGGCCTCCAGTGCTGAACTGTTAAAGACTGAGAGTTGAAATCTGTTCAACCATTAATTATCACGTGATATGTAGACAAGTTGCTGGGCGATCAATCATCCGAGTCAGATATGCATGGTTATTGGCAGTAAGTACCATTTGTGTTTAATCTACTCAAAAATTGCTGTTTTCTCTTTTAATGTTGCTTTTTTTCTTTAATATCCTTACTGTTCACAAAACATTACAACAAATTCCCACACAAAGTCTTATTGCACCGCCTGCCATGCCAAGCTCAATCTAAAGATCTAAACAGACTTTTTTCTGACGCCTTTTTATTTACAGACCGTGGAAGCCAAATGTACACAGCAAAGCCAAAGTGTAAACAAACACCAGGGGGTTAGCTCATTTTCCAAGTTTCCCATATCACAGTAAGTGTGTAGTTTAGAACTAACTAAATCCTTAGAAACCTGAGCTGCAGTGAGATTTTCCATTTTGCACATTACTGCAGGTCCTGTATTTTGCCATCATTATGAGGACATCAGCTGTACTTGTGTATCTCCCTTGAAAAATCTTTGACCTGACAACATTTTTCCCCCAAGAGGTTACAACCACAGCCACCACCAGAAGACCACCAAACAGGAGGATAACGTGCTTATATATAACCAAGCGCAGACTAGCATTTGTCTCACTACTAATAAAATATGAGATCATAAGTTTACCAGCTTGATTTAGGGACGCAGTTTCCAAATACTCCACTTAACGCATTGTAAATCCAGTGTGTTTTACAGCTTTGGCTTTCCCAGCCAAATGCAATTTAAATCGTTCATTCCAAAAAGCCCCACAAACTGAACTTGGAAACCATAGGAAAGCTGATTGCTGCATATTTTTTTCACATCAAATGGACCCAATAAATATTTATAACTGATTGAATCTTGTTACGCAATCGGGATGGTCGTTTTCCTGCGGTTATATAGGGACAACGATTAAAAATGTGAAGCATCAAGTGGTGTTTAATGTGTAGCAGAGCACGGCCTCCGTAAGACTCCACACTTTGCTACTCTTGTGGGCCACAAATTTAGCTTCAAAAAGTTGGACCAGAATAATCTTGTTTTCTACAAACTGAAAGGCTCCTTTCCATACATCCATGCAGTCGAGTGCCCATCCCACCCACTTCACTTACATTAGACAATTTTGGAGAGCAATCATTAAGGTCAGGGAGGCTTCCTACTCAGCTCCTGGTAACTCTGTATGCCAAAACCAATGCGGCTGAGAGATAGGGTGGTCTAGCTGGACAAGTAGCGGGAAGCTTGCCAGATAGTGTTCTCAATGGCAAGCTACAGGGCTTGAGCTGGTTAAACTCAAGCAGTAATCCAACACATACTCCTGGGTCGCCAAGCCTTGGCTCTTGACAACCTGTGCCTAATACTTTCCGGGATTAGATAAGAAAGGTACGGCTCTCCAGAGAGAGTGTGCATTCCTTTCCACGCAGAGGAAATTGCCATACGTTTGTGAAACTCTCAGTCTGGTTTGAATATTCCTAAACATGGTGATTAGTTTCCGCGTGTGTCAGACACCAGACTGACAAACAAAAATGAAATATTGGGGAATGTAATCAAACCAAAATAACATAATCAGGAATGAGGATAAGAATGCAAATGTTAACTGTAGTCTTTCCCTTTTTGCATGTTCTTTGACATAATAATCCTTACATTTTGAACCTTTCAACAATATTGAAGGCGACAAATATTTATAATAATCTGCATTGATATAATGCCCTTCACCTACCTCAAGCTGCCTTACAAACTAACTGATTTAAGAAATAGGAGCAGGAGTAGGCCATTCGGCCCCTCGAGCCTGCCCTGCCCTTTAATAAGATAATGGCTGATCTTCTAACCTAATTACATTTACTTAGAATGAAAGTTCAAGTTATATAGGTAAACGTGGCACTGAATCCATACAAAACTGTCATGATAAGGCAACATTTACTTCTGCGCCTTCAAGTACAGTCACTACACTCTACACTAGCTTCACAATCCTGTGAAGATCTTTGAGAAGCTTTGATGGTGTGATGAAGTGCTCTATCAGATGTAAGTATTATTATTATTTTACAGAAGTTGTTCGATTTGTGAGTAAAGGATGTATTTTTCTACAAATGTGGTACCAGAAGGCCCTTAATGGATGGATCAGTGAAAGCAATAGACCTCAGAATCCGATCAGGCGGAGTACCTGTGTTTCTGCTCAGATTTGACACGAAGAAGAGAGGCACATTTTTTTTTTGCAATGTCCCATAAATAGCCATGAAGTGAATGATCAATTTTATTTGGGGGATTTTATTTCCCAGGATACCCTTTCCTTTTTGAGAAGTGCCATGGAATCTTTAAAGTCTACCCAAACAAGCAGGTGGGACCTCGGTTTAACGTTTCATCTAAAGTACGATGCCTCCTGACAATCCAACAAGTCACCACAATTTCGTTGTAACATATCACGCTGACTCAAGCTGCCACTTGTCTCCATTGTAGGACATGGTATTGCAATATCCTGTGTAAACATATATTCGTTACTGAATTCATGCAGTGAGCTAATATATTATTAGAAATTAATAAGTGACCAAAAAGTTCTCGATACAGATTGATAACTGCATCAAAACCTTTCTCCTGAACCCGGGTGAAGCATTATATTCCTATAAATTCAAGTGCCTACTTTGAATTATGCCCTCATTTTTTCACTTTAAGTGCTGTGCTACTTCATGGTGCATTTCCAACCAGTCCGACCTTTTAATACCTGCCGTACATTTCTTTGCGCTCAGAACAGCTGTCAAACTCCGAATGTGAAAAAAATCAACGTCACTGCCTCGGTCCTTGACTTTAACAATCACTGCTCTCGCACTAACATGAACATATCACTCATTGCTTACAGTTCACTTATGAATGCTGATGGAGACACAGACACATCAACCCTTGTTTGAGCATGATCCTTGCTGTAATACGCCTTTGGTATAACTTTCAGACATACAAAGAGCACATGGCACGCCTTCACTATATCACATTCTTTCCAGTCAGTATCAACAACAACAACACATTTATATAGTACCCCTCATACAGTGTAGCGTCCCAGAGTAATTGAGGGGGAGCATGATGCCAAGCCGGGGAAGGTGACCGTAGGCACGGTTGAAGAGGAAGGTCTTCAGGTGCAACCTGAAGATGGGGAAGGAAGGAGCAAGGCGGAGGGATAGAGCAAGGGTGTTTCAGAGTTTCGGGGCGTAGTGGCTGTAAGTACGGCCACTGATAGTGGACGGAGGGCAAGAGGGACAAGCAAGAGGCCACTGTGTTGGGGAATAAGCTGGTAGGGAGGTGCCAGGGCATGAAAGGATTTATCAAGATCGTGCTTTCATTGCAGTTTTAGCTGGAGAAACTGCCGCAGTAGCCCAACGCACACTCTGGCTTCCCAAGGCCTTGGCTCTTGCCAACCTGCGACACCGCTCTCTGGAGTTATGTAACTGCACCCTAGGAGAGCGTACCAAACCCAGGGAAGTTTCTGTTAGAAATGTTCCGTTAGACATTCCAACAGAATACGCATGGAACTCTGCCTGGTTTAGATACTCGTGACGGTTTCCACATGTGTCATATGCCCAGCTAA